TTGCATTTGTCATTTTTTCACAAAGCGAGCATTTACCGAAAAACGACCGGACTTCATGCAAAAAACTGGTAATCATGCACCTGGATGTCCGTGCGGCTTTATAATGCACCACCTTCATCCCAACTGATGCCGTTCTTTCTGCATGCCAGAAGGGATCAAAGCACGACCAATATTAGCCCAGGCTACAGCGTAGGGATCATTCCTGCTAATAGCGAGATCTGCGAGTTTAGTGCAAAAACCTGGTGCGCATGGTCGCGGCGGAGAGCCTGGTGCGTTCCAACCCGGGGTTCACTAACATTTGCAGCTCGCAAAGGTTTCGCATTGTGCCCTAGGTATGACAGAGTAGGGACGAGATGATAATGCATAATAAACACCAAAAACATTTTCAAAGGCCTGTGGTTTGGTCGATTGTTTCAATCGCGATAACCATGAAGTTGACTGCTACACTGGGAGAAGAAATAAGCGTCAGGATGGCCAGCAACACTATAAAACACAACACTGTCTACTGCTTACAGCTCTTTCAGAAATCTTTCAACATACTGAACAAATTGCTTTTCGGTAAGAAAGGAAAATTTTGATATAAAATTTGTAAAAAACTGGACCCATCTTCTTTCCCTTGTCTGCTTTTCTATTACTTGCCTTCATGGCCCCGGTTCTACTCTCAAGAAAAAAAATTTAGCAACGCCCGACTGTAAAACTCTAAGTTCTGTTTAATTTCAAATACAACAAAGGTCAGCCACGTACCACGTCATGTCCTGCTTCGACCAGTGTGTCAGCAATGTTGCCCATAAATCGCACGATGCTTTTGCCAAAACGAGGATTGAAAATCAATATTTTATATGCGGTCAGCGGAGCGAAGCAAATTACAAAAAAACAAATAAAATGCCAGTGACAGCGAGTCATTAGGATAGTCAAGTGAGGGTCTTTTGTAAAATGTAGTGCTGCGAGAATTTGCTGTGGTGCTTGAGTGGGAAGCAAACTGGATGGCTAGTCCTTTGAAAAAAGTGCCACAGAAACTTCTGTTGACTTTTAAAGTCAATAGCTTTAAGTAGACATGAAAAATCATTAATCACACCTAACCCATCGTCGCTGGAAAAGTTCAAAAGAAGGACAGAGAGCAGTGTGCTGATAGCGCTTCTCTCAGGATGACAATATTATTGTCAAAAACCAAAAATTTCAGACTGCTTATTTTGTAAAATTCAGCATTTAATTAACTTGAAAACAACTCCGGAATAAAGCAAAACAGAAGTTTATGGGCACAAAGGGTAGCAGTGACCCTAGAAGCCAGTCCTCCATTCCCATTATTTCATTTCTGATGAGCTCAAAGATAAATTTGTTGCTGGGCCATAGAAACTCACTGCACAATTATTTGAAAATTACGTGGGGTCGCTGGTGCGCACATTTGTATTTACTACAGCTGTTTCGCTGGAACCTGTTTCATTTGCTATCCAAAAAAAAAAAAAAATAACAAAATTGATTCGAGCGGAAATTACCTTTCCCAGTTGTTAAGTTTCTCCATTTCTAAAAGCGGATGCCTTGGAATAATTTCATTTAAAATATACCATGTGTGCTAGTGGGTTTCGTGTTAAGGTAAGTAGCGGCAGCTTGGAAGAACGGCCTTGGTAGCAATCACCAGCTCACAACTGAAGGAACTCCTGGAGAAGGAGCCATCAACAGAATCGCCAAAGGCTGACTTCTACTGACAGCATGCCACAGAATTCGTACTGCTCCCTTAGTCCTCATATTTTTCAGCATAGCAAGGTGCAGAGTGAACCTTAGTCTCATAATTATTAATTATTGTCATTAATTACCGGTCGTAATTATTACGCTGAATTGTCTCATCATTAAAGTATTAAGAAGCAAGAAAAGTTATTGTTGCATATTTCTTTCACGCTTTTAAACGACTTGGGAGGATTCCTGACTTTTTTTTGTTTGGTCATTATAAAGAATCAAACATTTTTATAGTATTTCACTAAAGGTGGAGCTACCGAGGTACATATCAGCAAAAAACGAGTGAAAATTATCAAAGAAAAATTATTCCAAACTCTTTATTGCTCTTTTTTTGCATTCTGTTCATCAGTTCGGCTACTACTTCCTAGGATAAGCTTCTTGAACAGCCTATAGCACAGGTAGCAAAGAAAAGCGAATACAAGCGCAGAAGCTGTAATGAATGGTACAATGATATCAAGCATGAAGTATGATATGAACGACATCTTCCTGCCGTATGGGTCAAAATTCGGTACTTGGCCAAATTCAGCGGCAAATTCCACGTGCCTTATTAACTGCTCCCTGGCTGAATTCGGCCTTTTTGCTATCATTCTGGACAGTTGCTCCGCTTTTTGCGCAAACCTGAAATATAAAGCAGTGTTCAGCAACAAAAGGTAACTTTGGGTAACGGAACTTTTGTATATTTCACTTCTTACAATAGCTGGTAGCGAAGCAATACAAATAGAATAATCATATTTATCTGTGGATCAACTTACTAATGAATATCATTCAGATGGAAGCAAGCTGAAGATAATTTGAAACATTCTCTGTAGTTGGTGCTAGCATAACCGAAGTGTTAAAGAAATTACATCGTCGGCGCTGGACTTGCCGAAAAACGTATAAGAAATTAATCACTGTTCAAGGGTGAAACTCATTATGTTAAAGACATTCAATTTTTATGCGAATTTGCATATTTTTGCAAATGCAAAAATGCGTATTGTGGCGACCCTTGGGATGTGTGTGTAACTGTATGTGTATCTGGCTGTCCGGAAATTTCAACTCGGCAACTAGGTTAGTATCGACGCTGCGATTTTGCCAGTTGACCCTCTAGCTAAAACTTATGCCAGGAATCAGCTTTTACGCACATTCGAATACTAGTTACGAATACGTGAAATTTTTGACGCCAAATTTTCAACACGAGAACTTGAACCCAGGCTGAAACGCATCAGGCGGGCCCGTGCGATCATGCGTTTTTGCACAGGACTTGAAGTACTCAGGTCATTAACTGCATG